CCGTCTCTGGTCGGGAAGTCGCCCCAGTCCCTGCTGCTACCCCCACTGCTCCAGAACCCCATAAGCTCTCTCTCCACATTGCAGATGCCCCAGGAGAGGAATACATGAGCTCCCAACAAATCATTTCAGGGCCTCTCCAGATACTCAGCTAGGGGTGGGGGGAGGCAGGTGGTCTGGCAGCTTTGGGCTCCCCTAGACCCTTTCCAGGGCCCTGCAGTCCAGCTAGCTCCTCCAAGGCAGGAACGAGCTGGGGGACCTAATGTGGGTGGTGATGCCTCCCAGGCACTGCTGTGCAGCCCCCCAGCCCGCCCTAGCCCTGTGTCCCTCCTTCCCTGCCCCACGGTCACACTCTCCTCCTTGGGCCTGGCCCCTGCTGAACTACATGTGCCCAACCCCATTACCTCTCAGGCCTTCCCTGCCCCCTCCCGCAGTACCCCAAACTTACCCTCCCCCATGCCAGTCCAGAAGCCTCCTGCCACCTTCCCGAGCTGCTGGGCCTCAGGCCCCATAGGTCCTGCCTCCTGAATGTTCTTTTCATCCCCTGACCATTGGCCCGAACCTCCTGACATGTCACTGGCCACCGCAGCTATCCCCGGATCAGTCCTTGACCTTTAGCCTTGCTCACCTCTGCCCAAGCTCCCGCTGCCCCATAGCCAGAGGGAACTTTTTCTTTCTTTCTTTCTTTTTTAATCTTTAAGTAAGCTCTATGCCCAACATAGGGCTTGAACTCAGGACTGTGAGGTCAAGAATTTCATGCTCTACCAACTGAGCCACCCAGGCGTCCCAGGTGTCATATATCTTAATTGTCATATATCTTAATGTTTGAGTCAGTTCAAACATCCCAGACATCATGAGGGTTTAGTATTATTTTTAGTATGTGTTTTAAGTGCTTTATTTGGGGTATTCTTTTTTTTTTTTTAAAGATTTATATATTTATTTATTTGACAGAGAGAGAGATCACAAGTAGACAGAGAGGCAGGCAGAGAGAGAGAGAGAGAGTGAGAGGGAAGCAGGCTCCCTGCTGAGCAGAGAGCCCGATGCGGGACTCGATCCCAGGACGCTGAGATCATGACCTGAGCCGAAGGCAGTGGCCTAACCCACTGAGCCAGCCAGGCGCCCCTTATTTGGGATATTCTTGTACTCAAATTCACATTTAATCAGGCATCCTGTATTTTTATTTGCTAAATCTGGCAACCTAGGTCCTGCACAGGTCACAGGGACCAGGGTACTGTCGGGGGTCAGAGAGCCCCAACCTGGACCCTGAAATTCTGCCCCGCAGTCAACCTGAAAGCCTCATTTCCAAACTCCTACCCTCGTCTGTGAAAGGCGCTGGAAACTGCTGCCCACTTCTCTCCTCATTCGGGTCCTCAGTATCCTCTTCTATAAAATGAAACTAAAGGTTTCTCCACCTTGTCTCTCAGCCCCTCCCCAGGATCAAACACCTGAGTGGGGTAGGGAATCCTCAGCAGACAGCGTGTGCCCAGAAGGCAAACCGGGCTGTGGGGAGCTTCTGTTCTTCCACTCCTTGGATCTTAAAGAATGATTAGGACAAAGGTCTTTTTTTTTTCCTTTCTTTCCCCAAAGCAACTAGGAAACCAGTTAAACCACCGTGATGATCCTTGATTCAGGCAAGGAGCTTCGGCAGATGAGAAAACCAAGGTGGGGGATGAGGACCTTCAGATCGCACGAAGTTACCGGATTGTCAGCAGACCCCGCAGTGCACACCAGGCGAACAGTCCGTCCCCTACCCTCTGACCCAAAGGAGACTAAGAGATCTGCCAAGTAAACACCACCCTGAACCTGGGATTAGAGCCTGAGCCAGAAAAAATAATAGCTGGAAAGGACATTATAGGGGCAGCTGGGGCAGTTGGACTGTAGACTGGGAACGACGAGGTCACAGAGTCGTGTCTGTGTTCAGCCTCCTGAATTGGATCATGTCACTGTGGTCTGTAAAAGAATGGCGTTGTTCTCAGGAGAAATGCGGTCAAGTGTTCAGAGGTGGAAGGTCACCTATCGGTGACTATAATTCTCCAAGGTGCAGCAAAAGAAAACAGCTGGGAGGGGTGCCTGGGTGGCTCAGTGGGTTAAAGCCTCTGCTTTCAGCTCAGGTCATGATCTCAGGGTCCTGGGATTGAGTCCTGTATCAGGCTTTCTGCTCGTCAGGGAGCCTGCTTCCTCCTCTCTCTCTGCCTACTTGTGATCTGTCAAATAAATAAATAAAATCTTAAAAAAAAAAAAGAAAACAGCTGGGAAGGAGGGAGAGAGAGAGGTCAAATGATAACAGTTGGTGAATCTGCTAGTTCATCGCACTGTCCTTTTTTTGGTAAAGATTTTATTTATTTGTGTGTGTGTGTGTGTTTGTTTATTTAGAGAGCATGAGCAGGGGGTGGGGCAGAGGGAGAAGGAGAGAGAGAAAACTGCAGGCACACTCCCTGAAGAGCAGAGAGCCTGATGCAGGCCTCGATCTCATGACCCCCACATCAGGACCTGAGCCGAAATCAAGAGTAAGCCACCCAGGTGTTCCCTCGTGGTACTATTCTTGCAATTTCTCTGAACATTGGGTACTTTTCCAAGTCTGAGGGCCCCCGAAAATAAAATAGCAGAAGTAGAAGTGGTTTTGAAGGCACCGTGCCCTCCCCAACACCCACAGCCCAAGGTTTCTCAGAGGAGGACCCTGAAAGGGGAAGGCCTGAGCCTGTCACACCGTGAACGGCAGTTAAACCTACCATCTCAGTTTGAGTCTCAAGGGCAGGAGGGGGCCACCTAGTCAATGTCAACCCAGCTCTTTTCTGTGCACCCCACATTCTCCCCAACACTATGGTCCCCCTTTAGACCTGCAGAGGTGAGCAGCTCCCACAGAGTCTATCCCTCTCTCTCCAAAGGAACAGAGCCACAGCTCCCTCAACCTGCATTGCCCTGAACGGACATCCCACCTCCCAAGATGCACGCAGGATCAGACAGGAGGGAGACGAGGGGAGCCCAGAGAAAAGGGGACAAGAGTCATAACGGTGGTCCCCTGGAAAGCAACAGGCACTCGGCCATTGTAAGCAGATCTAAAGGAAGGAACTCTTGGGAGTCGAGGCCCAGATTAATAACTGGGCAAGACAGGTGCACCCGCACCAGTCGCTTTTCAGGGCTGGGGGCAGCCGGAGGACAGGATTGCTAGGCCTGGGGCCCAAGCCAGCTGGATGGTGTGGCTGCAAGGGGTCTCTGGGGATATTGGAGTTGGCACTACCTAGGGCTCAAGCAAGTGTCCAGACCACATGGGTGTCCCAAGCAGACAAAATCTGCCCCTAGTTTTGGCTTCAGCTTCAATTTTTGTCCACTCATGTACCAGGTCTGGCCTCCCCAAACTCATGTGTAGCCACGGACTGTGCCGGAGCCAGTTGGCAAGCCGGAGCCAACACCCGTGTGAGGCCAGGCCTGGCAGGTGGGTCACTTTCTAGGGACGCTTACAGATGTAACTTGGAGTGGAATCTCTTTTTGTGCTTTACATACTGACGTGTGTTATTGAGTTGAGGTGTAAACACAGACAGGATTTATTACAGTGAGAGCAAGACAATTCAACAATTTGTGTTGATTAAAAACACTGTTAATTTCATATACAGAAAAAATGAAGAGGTTCCGAGAGATAAATAAAGAGAAGCGGATAGTTAATAAAATCCTACGAGAGGCAGTAATAACGTGACGACTTCAGGAGGAAGGCTATTTCCTTCTTGAGTCTATAAAGACATCTAATAATTTAAATAATACTACAAGACAGAAAAATAGATTCTGTCTTAATTCTGATTTTGTGGACTGTTTGCTGGACTAGCATTTATAGCCTTAGTCTAAATGGTACTTAAGTTTTGTTTGTGTACTGAATGCCATTTAAGGGATGAATCTTTCGAGGAAAAGCCCTGTGTGGGAATTCTTCCTAGCTTGTGAGGATGGATGACCGAAAGGAGAAAGCCAAGTCAGTCACCTCCAGATTTCACAAGAAGAGCGAACTCCAACATCACATGTCCACATTCGTGATAATCATCGTCATTAAGGGATATGAAGAAAACCAGAAGTGACTGGGGAAAACGAGGAGGTCAGGGGTGATCTGCTCCCGGGCCTCAGTGGAAGGCATCTGTGGACAAGGGCACTTATCCTAAGAAGGACCAACCAGTGGGAAGTTACTGGCTGCACACTCTGAAGGCAAGCTTTCTGATTTGATTACTTCCTTCATAATATTAAAATTGTGTTCAGTAAGGGGGAACCGGCCTGGCTCAGTCAGGGGAGTATGCAACTTTTGATCTCAGGGTCCTGAGTTTGAGCCCCATGCTGGGCATAGATTACTAAAAAAAAGAAGAAGAAGAAGAAGAAGAAGAAGAAGAAGAAGAAGAAGAAGAAGAAGAAGAAGAAGAA